ACAGCAGGCAGGGAACCTTGGCTTCCTCCATCACTGGAGCAAGCAAGCCTCCTGCACTCTTCAGCTGTGTGGCTGCCGGCCGCCATCTTTGTTGGCAGTTAATTTGCATATCTCGCTGATTAGCCAATGGGAAGCGTAGCAGAGGTACGGTTAATTACCCTTTTTATCTTTTATTAGATAGGATATTTATATGTATTTATGTAATACAGCTAAATATATTTAAATACTATATTTATATTATATAGTTAAATATATATTTATATATACGTTGTAGTCATTAAAAATAAATAATTAACTCAGTGAACATTTAAAAAGGCCTTATGAGCCACTTTGATGTGGTTCTGAGGAAAGAAGGCAGCTGTTGCTAGGTGAAAGAATGTTTAAAAATATAGCCAGTGTTAACACACGAACATATTTGGGTTGATTTCCAGTTGGAGAGTTATAATTATACTGATTCTCACTCTCGCACCCTGGGTCTCTGTGGCTCAGAGCAAGTCTTAGGAGATGTCTTGGGATCTATAAAAGCCGCTGACTATGCTTGAACCAAATCCAAGACTCTGACCTCATTGCCATAGTGCTGTGATTTATTGGGCTAACAAAGAAAGTCTTTTGCAGTTGGGTCCTGAGGTAACTTCCAGTGACATTACTGAGTCTCTCTTAAGTACTGCAAATGTATCTCTGCTTAAGAAGGATAAATCCCTTACAATATATTGTTGTTTCAGATCTTTAAGATGAAGAGTTGTTGTGTGTGTTTTTTTAATCCTCACTGAAGGATATTTTTCCACTGATTTTTAGAGAGAGGGAAAAAATAGAGAAATATCAATGTGAGAGAAACACATTGATTGGTTGCCTCCTGCATGTGCCTTGACTGGAATCGAACCTGAGACCCTTTGGACTGCAATCTGATGCTCTATCCACTAAGCCAAGCCAGCTAGGGCAAGATGAAGAGTTTTTAATAATTGCTAGTCTGATGTGGTCATTGTGTACCATTTAGTTTTATTGTTGGTGAATCTCAGAATATATGTTAGGAGGTTCTGTTTTCTAAGATATCATTATTTTCCTCTAGAGGGAGCTATATGTCCTTTTTAAAAAATAAGTTATCCTGAAAGTAAGGCACAAAGAAAGCAAGGTGTCAGACTTAACCAAAACTTCTTACGGACCTTAAGTATTCGTAGTAAATTTGTTATTTGTATATTATCTTTCATTTTACAATCATAAAATGTCAGTTAACACACAAGGGCCTCTACTTCTGCTCTTGCTATATGCTAAATATAGAGTTAGACATCACAGTACAAACAAGGTTGAAGATACTACCACTTGGATGACAGGGTGGAAATAGAAACAGGTTTGAGGGAGGGAGTTTTAATCAATAAAAGTACTAGTTGAATCCATTATTGGGAAGGATTTCATAAGGAGGCAGAGGTGGGAATGGATATAAAGAAAAGTAGGGTTGAGCTTTAGGGAACCCTTGAAAGAGGAGGGATGGTGGAGTCCAAGAACGAGATATAAAATGTGAGGGGGCGGGGGAAGGAAGCAGTGAACTGTGGAAGAGACAGGGAAGCACCTGATAGTGCAGTCACCAGAACTCAAAAAGGAGGGAGTTTTAGGAAAGTGTTCGTGGGGTAGAGGGAGGTGGGGAGGAGGATGGAGGTAGATTCAAATGTACCTGAATAGGTTGAAGAGAGTGAAAACAGATAAAAAAAAATATCGTCTTTAGTTAGAAAGGGTATAAATTCTAATACTTCATACTTAATAATCACTCTTTGGCCAGTTAATAGGAGTGGTTCAGCAAAACATTCAGAACCTTTTGCAGATTTTGTGTGGTGGCCATTTGGCCATTAACCACCCACACAGTCCATATAGAATCAGATGACAGATGACAGTTGACAGATGGGAGTGGGACACCCAGGGTTTTCATCCTGCCGCTGTCCCTAACAAGCTGCACAACCTTGGACGCGTCACTTAGCTTTCCCTGCACCTTGGCTTCTTCATCTGTAAACGAGAGAGTTGGATTCGGTCAAGGTTTCTTAATCTGGTGTCCAAGGCTAGGCATCGGGGAATCTGACATGCCCCTGAAATTATAAGCAAAAGAAGCTTTTTCCCCTGAGGAGAGAATCCATAGTTTTTATCAGATTCCTCAAAGGATAATGAATCTGTAAAAGATGAGAACACCTGGAGTAGGTGACCACTCAAGTCCTCTCTACCTTAGAATTCTGGAATGTTGACTCTCTCTCTTTAGCCACCTTGTAGTATTCCAAATAGCTGTCAGACATCAAATTAAGGATTAGAGTTTTCAAAATGGAATTGATTGGATCAGTTCCCTCTAGAGCAGTGATTCTCAACCTTCTGGCCCTTTAAATACAGTTCCTCATGTTGTGACCCAACCATAAAATTATTTTCGTTGCTACTTCATAACTGTAATGTTGCTCCTGTTATGAATTGTAATGTAAATATCTGATATGCAGGATGGTCTTAGGCGACCCCTGTGAAAGGGCCGTTCGACCGCCAAAGGGGACGCGACCCACAGGTTGAGAACCGCTGCTCTAGAGGATTATTTAGAAAATCTGGAGAATTTTAAAAATCAGAACTAGTTATTTCTTTAATAGCCCACAGATATTTTTATGAGGACCAAGAGTTACATCTCCCTTCACATCAGGGGACGCGCCATGCATCTGATGAGCGTAAACACTAGAAGTGACTTCAGCCACTTAAACATTATATAGGGATGCCATTGCCTTTGGTATATTTGCCTCTAAAAGGTAAAAACAAACAAACAAAACAGTGGACAGAGAAAGCAGTTCTTTGAATGAAAGCTGCTAATTGAACGTGCATCGGAGTGATTGCCATGTGTTTCTCTTCTGGCAGGCGTGCGTGTGGTCAGCAATGCCGGGGGTACCAACCCTCTCGTGTGTGCTGCTGCCCTGGACAAGATGGCCAGGAAGGCTGGTGTTGATTTGAAAATAGCAGTGGTCACTGGAGATGACATCCTGGGAGAGGTTATTGACATTTATGTGATACACTCCTAAGCAAGAAGCCATTTTTCATGTGATGAACAATTAGGATCGTTTACCTTGATCTAATTATTGGATTTGGGTATAACTCTTCAGACTGAGCTCTAGAAATCTCTCTCTAATCTGTGTCACTTTAGTCTAGAAATTCTGGTCTAGATTATCCATTAATGTTTATAAACCACTTATGTGCCTGCTATGAACGATTTATTGACTCACTGAAGACAATGTTTAGAATAACTTTGGACCCTCCTTTGAACATGGAAATGTAAGTTGAAATTGTGCTTCTTACAAAACATGAAGTTTTTTTTTAACACAAGTGATGACTTACCTTTCTAATCTTAACATTATTTGGGTTCCAGCTGATGGATTTTGCTGCAGGTGATACATTCTGTGTCACAACAGGAAAGGAAATGAAATGATAAAGTTTTTTATTGACACTTCAATTTGAAAAGCTAGATGTTTCAAGCTTTTCCTTGGTGCTGTTTCCTTAGGCTGAGCTCGGCTCCCTGTGAAATTCAAAGGCTGTAAAATCCCACTTGTGAAATGCAAGCAATTTCTGTGGGCTCTTGGATACTTGTGCTCGCTGTTAGGAACACACAGAAATCAATGGACTCATTTGTTTGAGAGTAAACAGAACAGATCTCCTAATTAGCTTTATCTTGGTAGAGCCCTTGGCTTGCTCAGAGGCCTGCTAAATGTCCTCTCTGTGCAGGTTTAGATTCCTGATTTGTGAAAACTGCTGTGGAGATAACCTTGCAGAGCTGTCCTATTTCTGTGTAAATAGTATATTTTAAATTCATCTGAATCCTCCTTCTAACTGCTGTGAGTGAATTTGCTGCCATAACTATCCACTGATTTACTTTATTTTTTGTTTTATTGATTTCAGAGAGAAAAGGAGAGAGGAGAGATACTAGTAGAAACATCAATGATGAGAGAGAATCATTGATTGGCTGCCTCCTATTAAGGATCGAACCCACAACCCAGGCATGTGCCCTTGACTGGAATCGAACCTGGGACACCTCGGTCCACAGGCTGATGCTCTATATCAGTGATGGCAAACCTATGACACACGTGTTAAAAATGGCACACGAACTCATTTTTTTGGTTGATTTTTCTTTGTTAAATGGCATTTAAATATATAAAATAAATATCAAAAATATAAGTGTTTTACTATGGTTGCAAATATCAAAAAATTTCTATATGTGACACGGCACCAGAGTTAAGTTAGGGTTTTTCAAAAAGCTGACACGCCGAGCTCAAAAGGTTCGCCATCACTGCTCTATACACTGAGCCAAATCAGCTAGGGCCACTGATTTACTTTAAATATGATGTTACGTTAGCATGTGGCAGATTTCTGCTTTAATGATCCCAATGTGATGGCAAATTCTTAAAATCTTATCCAAGAGAATTAAACTGTTGCCATTTTCCCTTTATGAAAAGGAATCTAACCCTGGACAGATTTTCATTTGTTTATAGAGAACTAATATGGAAACAGTAATACTGTGAAGCAGGTCCCTGCCTAGGAATATCAGAGTTTGACCTTTCATAGCCAAAACCCTGCCTACTCCTGTTGAAATAGTAACTGAACACAACGAAAATATGTACTTATCATAATAAGTCACACACTTTCACATGTATGCATATGTTATGTTATATATTACTAAAGGTCTGGTGCACAAAAAATTGTGCACTCGGGCTGGGGGTGGGCGGGGGGCCCTCAGCCCAGCCTGTGCCCTCTCGCAGTCTGGGACCCCTCAGGGGATATCCACCTGCTGGCTTAGGCCCACTCCCCTGGGGGGTCGGGCCTTAGCTGGCAGTCAGACATCCCTCTGGCAGCCTGGGACCCCTCGGGGGATGTCCACTTGCCAGCGGGGAGCAGACCTAAGCTGCAGTCAGACATCCTTAGCGCTGCTGAGGAGGCGGGAGAGGCTCCTGACACCACCGCTGTGCTGGCAGCCATCAGCCTGGCTTGTGGCTGAGGAGAGCTCCCCCTGTGGGAGTGTACTGACGACCAGGGGTCAGCTCCTGCATTGAGTGTCTGCCCCCTGGTGGTCAGTGTGTGTCATAGTGACCAGTCATTCCCAGTCGTTCTGCTGTTAGGGCCAATTTGCATATTACCCTTTTATTATATAGGATAGCTATATTTTTTTGTTTTTTTTTAAATATATTTTATTGATTCTTTACAGAGAGGATGGGAGAGGGATAGAGAGTTAGAAACATCAATGAGAGAGAAACACCGACCAGCTGTCTCCTGCACACCCGCTACTGGGGACGTGCCCGCAACCAAGGTACATGCCCTTGACCGGAATTCAACCTGGGACCCTTCAGTCCACAGGCCAATGCTCCATCCACTGAGCCAAACCGACCAGGGCTATAGCTATGTTTTGTAATAGATATAAAACACCAAATCCCTGTTGGGGACTTAAGGGTGCAGCAGTCCCAGCTTTAATCTTTGGTGGTGTCGTTGCTTTGGCTTTGGTGTCACTCCGTGCTATGACGGACTTCAGGAGAACAGAATGTGTCGTCCACTTTTAGAGCCTCTGGGAGGTGATGACATGTTCTTTTTATGAGTGACCATCTCTATGTAGGTATAGCTGATGCTGTGGTGCTTCACACAATTTTCAGGTGCTTTGTCCTGTTTTAGCCTGAGCCCTTCTTTTGAGGGGGGAGGTTGTAGAGACCACCCTATACCATGCTCTCTCCCGTGCTTTGGTGCTTAGCCTGGGAAAACATGTCGGCATTAGGAGTCCCTGAATACATCATTTCATGATTAAGGGGAACATGCATTGATAACTTTTATTCTGAACATTGGCTTGATAGGAAGCATGATTCTTTACTGGAGAGAAATTGCTATAGGACCTTTCAAATTCTGCATATCACTTTGTAAGAACTAGAAGAGATTATATATGTATTTACACCAATCCTGTGGGATCGATACTATCAGTGCCCTGCTTTAAAAATGAAGAAACTCAGAGAAGCACTGGGAAGCTGGTGGTTTGCTAGGGGTCAGAGCCCACACGCTTCACCAACAGGCTTCATTCAGCCTTTCTTGATTGGGTTCTTTGTCTACAAAATAGGGGTTGTGACACCTGCCTGTCAGGGTTGTTTGGAAAACAAAATGAAACACTGTATGAAAAATGCCTGAAATAGAATATACAGAATAACTTTTTAAATATATTACTTTCTTCATCCCAATAATGAAATGTATAGGAGTCTACTTATCTATTACATGTTCTTGTTGTTTAGCATATACAGGATGGGGCAAAAGTAGGTTTACAATTGTGAGTGCACAAAACACAATTTATTCTTCTATTATTTATTAATTATTGTATTATTTTTCATATGAACAACTGTAACTCTACTTTTGTATAATACAGGTAAGCTCTCTGTGAATAAAGGTTTAAAATATTTTTGTAAAATATTTATAGAAGGAGGCTTTGCAAGGATCCACTATCACAGATATGGAGAGTGGGAAGAAATTTCCAGACACCATTGAAAGCATGAATGTGTACCTAGGGTAAGGTCTTTTCTCTTATGTCCCTTATTCCTCCCACCCTCCCTTCCATCCTTTCAAATATAGATAGACACTTGTGGCTTCAAAGGGTTGGCCATTTCAAAAGCTTTTTTCCCAGTGTGCCAGGTAGCAGCAGAAACTCTTAGGAATATCCACAGGACTTTCTCAAGAACCACCATAATTTGCAGCTTCCAGGCCAGATAATAAGCCTGAGTAAAGGAGGCAGACATTCTTTAACAACTGTCGCTGCTACAGTGTCCCCTTGACCTATCTAAACCAATGACAGGACAGAAAGAGGAATTTAACTTTAAGCCTTGGGAGTTAAAAAGTTTATGGCTGCTAATATCACCAGTACATCTGGCAGAAGCAAATGCAAATCCAGATGTTTCCTCAAAAGAGGCTGCTCCACAAATAAAGTCTCACCAAACTTAGTAAGAGTTCACAGTCTGAAATTCCAAAAAAAAATGTAAATGCCCATGGTATTCATAAATTGGAATGTTTTCATGCAGAATGCTATAAGCATGTTAAAGATGTTTAAAGAAGTGAAGATGGAATAAAAACCAGAGCAGGGAACAAGCTTTCAAAGAAGGCCGAGATGGATTTGAGTAGAAACCAAATGAACTTTATTAATCAAACATATAGTCATTGAAATAAAATTTTAATGGGTGAATTAAACAGCAGATTAGATACAATTAAACAGCAGATTAGATACAATTAATGGAAGATTAGTGAATTGAAAAAATAGATCTAATAAAATTTACTGAGATCAGCCCAGGTTAAAGAGATAGAAAATGAAATAGAAGTTTGAGAAACGTGGATAGAATTGTAAGGTCTAACGTCCTATCTAAGAGTGAGAGAAGAGAATATAAAGAACTAGAGGTCCGGTGCATGAAATTCATGCACTTGGGTAGGGGGGTCCCTCAGCCCGGCCTGCGCCCTCTCGCAGTCTGGGAGCCCTCAGGAGATGTCCTATTGCTGGCTTAGGCACACTCTCCAGAGAGAGCAGGCCTAAGCCAGCAGTAGGACATCCTTAGCGCTGCCATGGAGGCGGGAGGGACTCCCACCACTGCCGCTGCACTCACCAGCCGTGAACCTGGCTCAGGGCTTCTGGCTGAGCAGTGCTCCCCCTGTGGGAGTACACTGACCACCAGGGGGCAGCCCCTGCTTGAGCGTCTGCCCCTGGTGGTCAGTGCATGTCATAGCAATCGGTCGTTCCGCTGTTTGGTCAATTTGCATATTAGCCATTTATTATGTAGGATCGGGGAAAGCAATGTCCAGAGACAATGGCTGGGAATTAGTCAGGGTTGATGAGACATATTTATCCACAGGGTCAAGAAGGAGAGTCAACCCCAAGCAGATTAAACAAAAAGATATAATACCATGCAACTGTCTAAAACCGAAAACTAAGATTGCAAGAGCATCCAAAGAGAAAGGCAGTAAACAAGCATCAATACTTAAACTGATAACACACCTCTCAACAACAAAATTGGATACCAGGAGATTGTGAAGTAGTCTCCATGAAGTAAAATAACTGACATTCTAGAAATGTATGCCCAGACAAACTGGCATTGTATAAGGGGTGAATGTTGACAGAACACTTGATATACAGCTACACAGGAAATACTAATTTAAAAATAATAATATGAATGGAAGTATCTAGGAGAGTGTTTTTGTCCACATCATTTAATGCCTGGAATTAGTTGAAATATATTTGAGTCATTGGACAAAATGATAAGCAGTTGTGGTTTTTTGTTGTTGTTTAATCTGACTTGGGTGAAAAAACAATAACAGGGATGATCTCTTTCCTAAAGAGCAAGACCCATAAGCAGGGCCCTGGACCTCGGTGCCGACATCGTTCTGACGGGGCGCTGCGTGGACAGTGCTCTCGTGCTGGGACCCCTCATTCACGAGGTAAGTTGATGGGGAGAACACACTTGTCACCTTGAGCTTATCATCTTTGTTTTGCTTACTAACACACGTGTAATTTTCTTTGGCCATTACAAAGTGTGTTCAGGTGCCAATTGGTTAAGTTCTAAATATTAAAAACAAGCCAAAAGTAAATAAATTGCTTTCCTAATAGAGGCCTAATATGTCTAGTGTAGCAAAAGGCACACAGTGAATTTCAAATTTGATTTTATATAATGATGTTCATTAAAATATGGTAGAATATTTTATTGTTGTTGTCAATTAAGTGATTCAGAGATGACCATGTGAAACTGGTTGATATATGTGTGTGTGGTTGATGTAATAACTCCTGCAGCTTTTTATTCAATACCTTGGGATCCTTTAGAATCTTAAGAGTTTGAGAACACTTCTATATGTTTGAGGACTACTTTGCTTATGCTAATTTTTTAATAGTATTTTTTTTTCTAAAAATAGATGTATTGACCCCTTCCTGGTCAAATTCCTAGTTCTTGGTATGCCTCCATTTAATCCCTTGCAGCGGTTCTCAACCTGTGGGTTGCGACCATTGGAAAACACATATGACGTATCAGATATTTACATTACGATTCATAACAGTAGCAAAATTACAGTTATGAAGTAGCAACGAAAATAATTTTATGGTTGGGGGTCACCACAACATGAGGAACTGTATTAAACCGATGGTCACGACCCACAGGTTAAGAACCACTGCCTTAGGGGCTTGAGGTTCTTTGTTGTAAAATATTCTCAAGTCAAATCCAGCTTCTCAAGGACACTGGAGGCTCTTTCTCTACATATGGAGAGAAAATTATAATTGTGTTATAGATATAGAATGAGCCATCCCTTAGGCTTCTTGGATCTCCCTGTTCATCCATTCAGACTCAACCCAGTGTCTAACTTCGCTTTTTTGAAATTGTGTTCTCTAGTTTTAAGTCTGCACTCTCCCGTGGGAGGCTCTTCTAAAGCTTTCATATCGGTCCTCAAATCCATGTACCTTTGGGCCCAGCTATTCCTCCAGTGGACTCTTCCTTCCCACCCTTTTCCAATCCGTTCATCTCTTTAGGGCCTAGCTCTTCCTCTCTTTTCTTCCTCCCACTCAGGAAGTACTGTTCTTTGTGATGTTGGTTTTGCTAATACTTGGAGCAAATTGTAATGTTGGTTTTGCTACTATTTGGCGCAAATTGTATGCTATGTATACTCAAGAGGCTTCCAGTATTTATCTTTATCTCTAGTTCTTGGCTGCCTACTTAACAAGGAGTCCTGTGAAGATCTCTAACGTTCTCTATCTGTACTGTTCTCTCTATGTGGTATTCTATCCCACAGACTCTAGTCATCATGGTCTCCCTCGACTCTCAGCTCCTTAACTCAGGGAACCTGCCAGCTTCCCTTTCGATTCCCTCTCCCAGCACTGGGCTTGGAAACTCAATCATAGGCCCTTCTCATACGTTTCAACTTGCTTAGTTAGAGGTCACTAGTTTCTGTTGCCTGATGTCCAATGTCTTAAACACTGTGGTTTCATATATCTTACCTGGCTTTTTTGTTGTTTCAGGCATTAGTTTAAATTAGATCCAGGTTATTCCATCTTGTCCAGAGCAAAATTCTACTTCATGTTTTTCTGAGAGGTTTTTGTTAGTGTCTCCATATAATTTTGTATTTGAATCTATGCAGTAATCTTGAGTTATACTTTAGATCAAGTAGGGGACTGGTCAAACACATACTATGTAAAGATTCTATATCTAATTGGTGAATTACAAATAAAATAATTTTTGTGGGTGTCTTTTTTCCCCCTAATAGTTTGGTTGGAAAAGCAATGACTTTGACTTATTAGCTGCTGGAAGGTAAGTCTAATAATATTAGTAGTGATTTTCCTCTTTTAACTACATTACAGTAAAATTTACTTAAGCTTTTCAGAAATTAAGATATGTGTGTCTGGCAGGTCACCTTAAATACATTTTAAACGGAACATAATTGTATTTCTTTAATACTACAGAGTTTTAAAGCTGAAGAAAGATGTCTCCTACAAAGATTAAAGAAATTTTGTGAAACAAAGTAACCATTGATTGAAGAAATTTTAAGCAACCATCGTTTATTATTGAGTGCCTACCTACTATGTGATTTAATAGGCACTTCACAAAATTATTTTTTATTCTCACAATTTACTTACTAGGCAGTTGTTGTTATTCCCATTTGAGAGATGAGGGAACTGATACACATTAGGGTTATGTAAGTTGCCCAAAGTCACAGAGCTAGTTATGTGGTGGAGCCTCGGTTCACACAGGCCAAATAACTAAAATCCAGAGTGTTTTATTTTCCCATGTTGTCAACTCTATAAAGAGCTTCAGATCTTTCAGATTTTTGAAGAGGAAATTTTAATAGTAGATATATTGATAAGTTTTTGTCCATTAACATATCAAATAGGATGGTAATATTTTACATATTTTCTCCCCTATCCTATATAAGAAAAGAGAAACATGTAAATTGACCATCCTTTTGCTATGCTCACCACCCAATCAAGGTGAATATGCAAATTAACCTGACAAAGATGGCGGGTTAATTTGCTGGGTGGAGAGCAGAAGCGGGAGAGCCGGCAGCTCGGGGGGACGTTGTTCCCTCGGTTGCTCCCTTTGGGGGACGTGGCTCCCTTGGTCACTGGGCAGACTAATCATAAAAACAATATATAATTATATATGTGTTTTCCGATGGACGTAGGCGACCCCTGTGAAAGGGTTGTTTGACCCCCAAAGGGGTCACAACCCACAGGTTGAGAACCACTGTCCTAGACACTAGAGCAAAGTGACTCTGGAGCAAGTTACTGTTGCGGTGGGGGATGGAGGGAAAGCAAAGGTGAGACACAAGTAAAATCAGTGTCTAGGAAAAATAAAAGGGTCGATATCCTAAAACTTCCAGGAAATCTCCACCAATGAAGCAAAGAAAAAAAAATGCCTCTATTATTCTGTGAGCAACAAACCAAACTGGGTTGGGGGTCTCAGACAATTCGTTCATATGATTGCAAAGACAGACATAAACTCCCAGATTGGAGAGGGCTCCACTAAGGGCTCCCAGATTGGAGAGGGTGCAGGTCGGGTTGAGGGACCCCCCACCCCAACCCTGTGCATGAATCTTCATGCACCAGGCCCCTAGTTCTATAATATAATGACAATTTAATGTCACACTTTAAGCCTGGTAATAACTTACATGTTGAAGCACTTTGCAGTTTTCATGATGCTTTCACATGTTTTTATTTCAGTTAATTCTCACAACCTTACCAGTAATGCATTAGTCCCATTTTGATCAGTCTATCACTTGGCCTAGGTTCCTGTGATTCTCCGACCAGGCCATTTTCTGTTATTCCAGATTAGCCTTTCTGCGTCATTACCCTACTTTTTAAAAACAAACAAAAACAAAATGGCCAAGGTTTTTCTCACTTCTATGACAATACCTTCAAATATAACATTTTATTTATAGTATTATTTTATATCTGGGAAGGCATTGAAAATTTTGCTCACCATATTCATGCTATTTTTTTTGTTTGCTTTGTAGCCTTGCAGGCCATCTCATTGAATGTGGTGCTCAGAGTACTGGTGGAATATTCACAGACTGGCATTTGGTACCAGACTGGTAAGGAGCTATGTTTTTTTTTTTTTAAATATATTTTATTGATTTTTTTACAAAGAGGAAGGGAGAGAGATAGAGAGTTAGAAACATTGATGAGAGAGAAACATTGATCAGCCGCCTCCTGCACATCTGCTACAGGGGATGTGCCCGCAACCCAGGTACATGCCCTTGACCGGAATCGAACCTGGGACCTTTCAGTCCGCAGGCCAACACTCTATCCACTGAGCCAAACCGGTTTCGGCGTGTTTTGTATAGCATATGTTATAGCATGGCACATAACATCTGCATTTATAAATTTTACTAGAGGCCCAGTGCATGACATTCATGCACTGGAGGGAGGGCGGTCCCTCAGCCTGGCCTGCACCCTCTCGTAGTCCAGGACCCCTCAGCGGACATCCCCCAAGGGGTCCTTAGTGGTGGGAAAGGCTCCCGTCACTGCTACTGTGTTCACCAGCCATGAACCTGGCTTCTGGCTGAGCGGCGCTTCCCTTTTGGGAGTGCACTGACCACCAGAAGGTAGCTCCTGCATTGAGCGTCTGCCCCCAGGTGGTCATTGTGCATCATAGTGACTGGTTGTTCTGCCATTCAGTTGATTTGCATATTAGTCTTTTATTATATAGGATTTTCTGTTTATGAAACTATAATTATTGCTATTTTAAATTTTGAATTGTTTTTATTTGTATTGTATATTGCATTTTATTTGTATTGTGAAACACAGACAGACTTTATACCCTAGCCGTCATTACCTTATTAGGATCCAGAGCTAAGTTTCAGGAGAATTCTTTTTGGCATGTTAATAATCATACTTCCCTAAAATAACATATGATATTTTATTATGGCCTCTAGTTTATTATTAGGCTGAGCTATGTACCTATTTGGGGTTGAATTATACTCCCCAAAGATATGTTGCAGTTCTAGCCCCCAGTACCTTAGAATGTGACCTCATTTGGAAATAGGGTCTTTACAGTGGTAGTCAAGTCAAAATGAGATCAGTAGGGTGGGCCCTAATCCAAAAGGACTTTTGTTCTTATAAAAAGAAATTTGGAGCTAGTGGAAGACACATACAGAGGGAAAACAATGTAAAGATCCTGTAAAGAAAGAATTGGGTGATGCATCCACAAACCAAGGAACGCCTGAAGCTAGGAAAAGGACAAGGAAGGATTCTCCCCTAGAGCCGTCAAGAGAGCTTCACCCTGCTTGTCAGCCCTAGGAAATGAATACAGTACCTAAAATAGAAATAGAGTCTTGCTTTCTTAGGATTAAATACACTAAATATACTGGAACCTTGAAATTTCAGAACATGCTGGTAAATTACTTTTTCTGTCATCCTATTCCATCTAGGGCTGTGTTGTTAGAAGTCTCTTGATCTCAGCTCTCAGAAGCTCCTACAACATGAGCCAACTTACTAATAAGAAGCTTAGAGTGCATAGGCCTTTGCCTCTAGTGTAAATTAAAAATCTATACACGACTTCTCAGACCCCTGTCAGTCTAGTCAGTGGCAATCTCTTTCAAGTCTTGTTGCCCACTCTTCCTCTTAACTTTGTCTAGAGCCAGGCAGGTGCTGCTCACTCTTCTTTCTAATTTTTCCTTCTCCTATTCCTAGGCTTCTTATGGTACCAGACTAATAGGAAGCAATAAAACATGAGGCTTATGACACCAATGGGAAATGTGTCCTCAGCCCTTTGCTCTTACAGGTCTGGATTCTCTCCCTCAGAATGCTCATCTGCTTTTGCAGTGTTGACACTGGCATGGGAGCAGATGGCTTCCAGATTTATATCTCCTGCCCTGCACACAACTCTACTAGGAATATCTGAATAGATTTGCTTCTGTTTATAATTTTATTCTTACCTTAAACTCATCAGCCTGTATTGAAGACTTCTATTTTTTTAAAAATATATATTTTTTTATTGATTTCAGAGAGGAGGGCAGAGGAAGAGAGAGCTAGAAACATCAATGATGGGAAAGAATCATTGATTGGCCACCTCCTGCACATCCCCATTGTGAAATCAAGCCTGCAACCCAGGAATGTGCCCAGACTGGGAATTGAACTGTGACCTCCTGGTTCATAGTTTGACATTCCACCACTGAGCCACACCAGCCAGGCAAGACTTGTACATTTTGAGAGTGATATGGTCGGTCTCCCACTGACCTAGTCTCTGGTGATCTTTTTTTCTCTTCTATAGACTCCCTTTATCTCATCAATTTTCAATAAGGTCAATTTTCAATACATAATATCTTTCACTTCCTTTCATATTTATCCACATTTGTACGTTTCTTATCTAGATTCTGAAGACTATCTTATCCTATATAATAGGGTAACACGCAAATAGACTGAACAGCAGAACAACCGGTCACTATGACATGCACTGACCACCAGTGGGCAGACGCTCAATGTGGGAGATGCCCCCTGGTGGTCAGTGTGTTCCCACAGGGGGAGTGCCACTCATCCACAAGCGGGGCTCGCTGCTTGCCTGCCAGCAAGGGGAGCAGCCCTAAGCCCGCAGGCGGACATCCCTGAAGGGTCCTGGACTGCGAGAGGGCACAGGCCAGGCTGAGGGAGCCCCCCCCCCGCCCCACCCTGTGCACTGGGCCTCTAGTAGTCTTCTAATTGGTTTCCATGCCTCTTGCTTCCAGTGCAACAGCTTTTCAACTGTGATACAGATTATTGACCTGTCGGAAACCTGAGATCCTAGATTTCATCATATTGGCCTTATCTGTTCAACTAGGTTATAAACTCTTTAAGGGCATGGATCTTTGCATTCCTATGATTATCAGCTGCATCTCTTAGCCCAGAATAACAATCAAGGAGCATAATCTCTAGAGACATTGCTTGGAGTCCTGGTTCTACTACTTCCTACTCCATGAGATGGGACAAGTTACTCAGCCTTTATGTGCTTCAATTCATCCATCTGCAGAATTAGGGTGCTGGTAATATCTATTGTCATTGCACTATTATGAGTGATATGTAGTAAGTTTTTAATCAAGTTTTTAATAAAGTGTTCATTTTTATTTTATCGTTTTGCACTATTTCTTCCCCCTCCCTCTCCTCCTCCCGTTCCTCCTCCCCCTCTAAAAATCAGTGGGGAATTTTTTTTAAAGGTCATGTTTAATTTTTAACATTACTAAATGACCATTTCAGAAGCAAACTAGGTTCATAAGCTATAACTCTACATTCTCTAAATTACCCTTAATCCCCCTTTTTGTTTATCTTTATGCTTCTTAGTTAACAGAAGATCAACTTTATAAATAAACTAGAGGCCCGGTGCATGAAAATTAATGCACTCAGGGTGGGGAAGGGGGTCCCTCAGCCCGGCCTGCGCCCTCTCGCAGTCTGGGACCCCTCAGGGGATGTCTGACTGAAGGCTTCGGCCCGCTTCCTGGAGGATCAGGCCTAAGTCAGTCAGACATCCTTCTGGCAGCCCAGGAGCCCTTGGGGGATGTCCTAAGCCATTAGTCAGACATCCTTAGTGCTGCCACGGAGGCAGGAGAGGCTTCCGCCACCACTGCTGTGCTGGCCAGCCATGAGCCAGCTTCTGGCTGAGCGGCACTCCCCCTGTGGAAGCACACTGACCACCAGGGGGCAGCTCCTGTGTTGAGCCTCTGCCTCCTGGTGGTGAGTGCACATCATAGCTACTGGTCGTTCCGCCTTTAGGGTCAATTTGCATATAACCCTTTTATTATATAGGATGGTTCTTTGAGAGCCGAGGCCCAGATTTCACCATTTTGGCTTTATAATTAAGGGAGGGAGGGAGAACCCAGCTGATCATTAATGGAGTAAGCCATGCTCACTCTGAGACTTATTAGGGACCAGAGAAATTTGATGGGGCAGAAATCTAATGATGTGCAGCCCTCTAGATGTCACAGCTCCTGCAGTCTCATAGGGGTTCTCATCACTTCCCATCAAGAGGAGCTAGAGCCAAAACCAGTTTGGCGCAGTGGATAGAGCGTCGGCCTGCGGACTGAAGGGTCCCAGGTTCGATTCCGGTCAAGGGCATGTACCTGGGTTACGGGCACATCCCCCGTGGGGGATATGCAGGAGGCAGCTGATCGATGTTTCTCTCTCATCGATGTTTCTAACTATCTCTCTCTCCCTTCCTCTCTGTGAAAAATCAATAAAATATATTTAAAAAAAAAAAAAGAGGAGCTAGAGACCATTTCCAAACCTTCTGAAAACAGTTCTCTGAATTTTTATACTGAATATTCTTCCATTCCTTTCAATGTGATTTCTTTCTGTTTGGCTCCCAGACATCACCCATATTCAGTACTTATCACACATGAATAAGCCATCATATGATTTTTAAAAGGTAATATAATATTAAAATGCACAGCTTTGGGTTATTGTTACTCATCAAAAGTATTGTTTGGTATAAGGTAATATCTTTTCCTGAGGTTTTCTTCCTGCTGTTGTGAACCACAGTGTCCCCTGATTTTCACCCAGGCACAATATAGGATTCCCCGTACTGGAATGTTTTCCTGATGGGCAGTTCATCCTCTCCAAGCCTCCTGGCACCGGGGGATTGGTCTCCTTCGGTACAGTGGCTGAGCAGCTAGTGTATGAGATTGGTGATCCGCAGCGTTTTCTTTTACCTGACGTCACTTGTGACTTTTCTCAAGTCTCTCTGACTGAAATTCCAGGTCAGTGACTAATAAGGGCTTGTATTCAAATGTTACATTCTCTCCCTTGCTCTCTAGAAGTTTTTAACATAAAATTGTGATTGTTTTCAATTCCAATACCATCTTTTCTAAGCCAGATGTGTAGATAACTTGAAAATTCTATGATGTGATTTATGGCATCTATTAGAAAGTAGTTGGAATGAAGTGGAAAGATTTTTTTTTAATTGCTTTTAACATGTTTAACAATTTGGCAAAAAAATAGAAAAATGGTGTCTTAACTGGGTATTTAGCCAATATTAAGGTTAGTTTTTTTGTGAACTTCCAAATCATTTTACCTGTATCTTTCACATGGCACTGAATGACTTTAGCTTTGTGTTATTCACAGATGTATGTATGTGTATGTGTATGTATGTGTGTGTGTGTGTGTGTGTGTGTATTTCATATGTCTTCTACTGCATTGTAGACTTCTTGAAAAGAAAACTTTGGTCTGGTTAATTTCTCTCTCCTTTGTAATCTCTGCTACAGCACCTTGCAAATAATAAATAAGAGATAGACATTTATTGACTGAATGAAGAAATAAATGCTTTATGTTCAATTAAAACCAATTGTCAAAACATCATAAAGAGAATGTAGACATGCTGGAGAGAAACAAATGTGCCTTTCAGTTTAAGAAGCAAATTATACACTTGAAGTTATAGTGTGAAGCTGAGGACAGGAGAAAGTGATAAACAGTGGAATGAATTTTTACTCAATCCATTTAGAATCCTTTCTGAACTTGAAATATATACCAGTACTGTATAGAAAGAAAATGTTTTAATCTGTGAATCCAGAAATTGTCTTAAATTTTGTGTATATAGTCACTGCTACTCTTCTAAATTAAATATGAAAGGTTTTACCCAAAAGAAAATCTTAATTTTTTTGCTTCAGCAATTCAAACAATATTGACTAATATTTCTTCCATTTAGACTTTTTTCAATGATATAGTAATTTTGTCCCAAATGAAACATATTCCACTTGGCTTCCTACGTTTTCCATAAGTAGCCTGCAACTGGCGTACCTTAAATAGCATTCTTAGCGATTGCAAACTAAAAATCATCTCTATTGAGTAGTAAGATGATACAGGCATACCTCAAAGATATTGCAGGTTTGGTTCCAGACACTTCAGTAAAGACAATATAGCAGTAAAGTGAGTCACAAAGTTTTTGGCTTCCCAGTGCATAGAAAAGTTATGTTTATACTATCCTGTAGTCTGTTAAGTGTGCGATAAGATTATATTTTTAAAAACAATGTATATAACTTAATTTTAGAATACCCTGTTGCTAAAAAATGTTAATCATCATTTGAGCCTTCAGTGAGTCATGATCTTTTTGCTGTCAAGGGCTGCTGACTGATCAGGGGGATGGTTGCTGAAGGCTGGGGTGGCTGTGGCATTTCTTAAAAGAAAGCAACGGTTACGTTTGCTGCATTGATTGTCTCCTCCTTTCACAGACGATTTCTATGTAGCATGCCAGGCTGTTTGACAGCATAAACCCACAGGAGAACTTTCAGCATTGGAGTCAGTGCTCTCAAACCCTGCCATTGCTTCATCAACTAAGCTTATGTAATATTCTAAAGCCTTCGTTGTCATTTCAACAGTCTTTATAGCATCTTCACCAGGAGTGGATTCCATCTCAAGAAACCACTTTCTTTGCTCACCCACAAGAAGCAATTCCTTATCCACTTAGGTTTCATCATGAGGTTGCAGCAATTCAGTCCCGTCTTTAGGCTCCGCTTCTAATTCTAGTTCTCTTGGTATTTCCACCACATCTGCAGTTATTTCCTCTGCTGAAGTCTTGAATCCCTCAAAGTCATCCGTGAGGGTTGGAATCAGTTTCTTCCCAACTGCTGTTAATGTTGATATTTTGACCTCTTCCCATGAATCGTGAATGTTCTTAGTGGCATTGAGAATGGTGAAGCCTCTCCAAAAGGTTTTCAATTTACTTTGGGCAGATCCGTCACTATCTCTGAGAGCTATAGGAACTATATTTTGTAAATAAGACTTGAAAGTCAAAAGTACTCCTCCACGGGCTGAAGAATGGATGTCGTGTTAGCAGGCATAAAAACAACATTAGTATCTCCCTCTTGTATTTTTTTAGAGAGAGGAAGTGGGAGAAAGGAGAGAGGGAGAGAGAGAGAGAGAGAGAGAGAGAGAGAGAGAGAGAGAAAGAGAGAAACGTTAATTTGTTGTTCCACTTATTTATGCATAGTTGGTTGAATCTTGTATGTGCCCTGATTGTGGATTGAACCCACAACCTTGGCATAGTGGGATGACGCTCTAACCAACTGAGTTGCCTGGCCAGGGCCAGCACTAATCTCTTTGTACATCTCCCTCAGCGCTCTTGGGTGATCAGGTGTGTTGTCAATGAGCAGTTATATTTTGAAAGGAATCTTTTTTTCTGAGCAATAGGTCTCAACAGTGAGCTTATAATATTCAGTAAAACATGTTGTAAACAGATATACTGTTGTTTCACATATAAAGAGCAGGAAGAGTGGATTTAGCTTAATTTTTAAAGATCCTAAGAGTTTCATAATAGTAAATGAGTGTTGGCTTTAAAGTCAGGAGCTGCATTAATGCCTAACAAGAGAGTCAGCCTGTCCTTTGAAACTTTGAAGCCAGACATTAGCTTCTCCTCACTAGTTATGACAGTCATAGGTGGCATCTTCTTCCAGTAGAAGGCTGTCCTGTCTACATTGAAAATCTGTTGTTCAGTGTTGCCATTTTCATTATCTTAGCTAGACCTTCTGGATAACTTACCGCAGCTTCTACATCAGCACTTGCTTTCTTACCTCGAACCTTTATTTTATGGAGATGGCTACTTTCCTTAAACCTCATGAACCAACCTTTGCCAGCTTCAAACGTTCCTTCTGCCGTTTCCTCTCTGCTTTCAGCCTTCGTAGAATTGAAGAGAGTCAAGGCCTTCCTCTGGATTAGGATTTGGCTTAAGGGAATTTATGGCTCCTTTGATCTTCAATCCAAACCACTAAAACTTTCTCCATATCAGCAATAAAAGCTGTTCCACGTTCTTATCAGCCATCTGTTCACTGAGGTAGCACTTTTAATTTCCTTCAGGAACTTCCCCTTCGCGTTAACAACTTGGCTACCTGTTTGGCACAAGAGGCCTAGCTTTCAGTCTATCTCATTTTTGACCTGCCTTCCTCACTAAGCTTAATAATTTCTAGTTTTTGATTTAAAGTGAGAGATTTGCGACTCTTCACTTGAATACTTAGTGGTCATTGTAAGGCTATTAATTGGTCTAATTTCAATATTTCTTGAAATTAGAGGGATTAGGAAGGCCCCAGAAGAGAGAGAGAGATGGGAATAACCCTTTAGCGAAGCAGTCAGAACACAGACATTTATTACGTTTGCCGTCTTATATGGGCACAGTTTGTGGCTCCCCCAAGCAATTATAATAGTAATGATCACTTATCAGAGATCACCATCTATATATATATAAAACCAGCGACCAGAACTCCCTAACGACCAGTCGCTATGACGCCCGCTGACTGGGGGTAGGGCTGGCCAGCCAACCTCCTGTAGCCTCTCCCCCCAGCCGGCACCGCCCCCAATTGCTCCCCTACCCCAATAGGGGGCAGAGCCAGCTGGCCAACCTCCTGAAGCCCCTCTCTCCACCTGGTCCCACCCAAGATCGGCCCCCCCACCCCATTGGCTCATGGCCCTTCCCCCCGGCCAGCTTCACCTGCGATTGGCCCCCCAACTCTGATCAGGGGCAGGGCTGGCAGCTACCACCATGGCCCCTCCCCCTCAGCTGGCCCCATCCTCAATCAGTCCCCCCACCAATCAGGGGTGGGGCCGGCTGGCCAACCTCCTACAGCCCCTCCCCTTAGCCACTGGCCCCGGATCATCCCTCCCAACTCCATTTGGGGGAATGATTGGCTGGTCCACCGCCCACAGCCCCTCCCCACATCTGGCCTCACCCCCAATCGGCCCCCCCACCCCAATCGGAGGCAATTGCCTGTGACCCCTACCCCCAGCTGGCCCGGCCCTGATTGGGCTGGGCCAGTGGACCCCACCCATACACAAATTTGTGCACTGAGCCTCTAGTAACAAATATAACAGTGAAAGACAAATATTATGACTTACCAAAATGTGACACAGATTAGAGAAGTGAGCAAAATGCTGTTAAAAAAAATGGCACCGATAGACTTTCTGGGTGCAGGGTTGCCACAAACCTCAATTTGTGAAAAGTGCAATATCTGTGAAATTAGGTATGCCTGTATTCATTTATTATTTCTGCTGTTCCTCTCTTTTTCCTATGTCTCTATAGTACTGTTTCTAAATATGTAGTTTAAACAAAGTATTAAATACAAGGTAAAATGTGACAACTTGTTCTTCAAATAATATGGAGAACAACCAAAATTGATCTGCAGCTGCTTCTCTAAGAACAGTCTCAAGGCTACTGTCTTAGGCAAATCATCATTGTTGCCGTTATGCATTGCACATGGCCTTCTAAAATGTATAATTTGTATTTATGATGCTTTAAAATGCGGTGGTCGTAATGCAATATAAAATAACTTTAATTAGTATATTTATTCTTTTTCCACTTCAGTCTGTTAAAAAAATAATAAACTCCGAGTGAACTTTTACCCTGTAAATGCCCTGACATGACATATTTGAACTTTCCGTGAACTTTCACATGAACTTTTAGTTATCCTCTGAGAAATATAACAGATGGAAATTGGGCAGATTTTTGAAATATTTTTAGATGCTGTACTTTGACATGTTTAACAGAGACAGGAAGGCCAGTTATCTCTGTCCGGTGTTTACTTTGCTGACTTTATGGTACTGCCGGCTGTTTCGTTATATTATATGCCTGAATTAAGAGGTTCGGGTTATATATTTTTGTTTGGCTTCTTGATTTTAAACCGATACTTGTAAATGCATTTAAAGACAAAGCTAACCTGGGTCATAAAATGTAAGAAATTCTAAGGGAGCTTTATTGAACCTATTGCAATAATATTGTTTCAAATCATTGAGATACTAGGGCCTTTTAAGGTTCATTTCAGGTTGTAGCATATGAATCAGATATGTTTTTCACTTTGAATAGTTTGCAGCTAGGAATTCAGTTCAAAATGCATGGGGGTTTCTGAACGGTCACTTGAGAAAGGAAGAGGAAAATTAATTGAGCATCACTGTGATCCTGGTACTGCCATGGTGTGAGATAGGCTCCTTATAAGTATTTAATCTGCAGCTCTCTTTTGAAGTAGTTTGTATGTTCATTTTACAGAAGAGGAAAGGGAGGCAGAGAGGTTGAGTAATTTGACTGAGAACACACAGCTAAACTGGGATTTAAATCTAGGTCTCCCAGATTTTCAAATCCTTGCTCCTTCAACAATTTTTTGCTCCCAGAAACAAAATGTTTATTTGATCAAATAGATACTAAAGATAAAAGTGTGATAAAGCTATAATACCCTTATAATCTTTGTTTTGAGAAATTAAAGTTTTCTTTATTGATTGCACAAATATTGTTAAGTAAGTTAGATTTAAAAACTCTCAGAATGCTTTCAGTGATATGAAGAATGCTTTCAGGAGTGACTAAGATTTTGGCATCTCTTGAAAATTACGTATTGTCTACAAAATTATGATACATCTTATCACATTTTCCAAATAATGCAGGAATGTATATTATTTATCCACTGATAATACATCTTCTTGCTTAGAATCAATTCTTATTAACACCCACTTTATTTTCATACCATAATTTATTCATCCTGAGTAGTGTTTTAGATATTACTTTGTTCAGAGAGATGATAGTATGGACACAGACGTGTAAAAATGGCACATGACTGCATTTATGAGATGAGAATGTGAACTGTATTAAGCTGTAATTAGCTCAACTTCTCTGACACTTCACTAAGTAAATACAGTTTTATTGCTGAGGCTGATAAAGATCTTTTCATTTCAGAAGGATGTGTTCAGAAGCTTAAGAGGCCAGTTGTGATCTTGTCAATGATGTAATTTAAATAGATAGCAAGTTAAAATAAGTTGCATTTCTTGTTTTAGGGGAATTTCTAATATTCTCCATTCTTTAATTTTTGAGTTAATTTTAAAAACACAGCTGTGTATTAAAAGTAATGAACAGATTTTGTACTGAAATAAGTGATCCTGATTTTCTCTTTAATGTTTAGGTGTTGAAGGTGGAGCGGTGCGGGTCCAAGGAGCAAAGGGGTCGCTTCCTTCTTCCTTTTATAAGGTCTTTTCTCTTGTGTGATTTTGTTACCTGCTTAGAATTCAGGGAGGAGGCACATTAATTTCCCTCTGTGCAATAGATAGGGGATTGAATTAGGCATAAAGTATTAATTTCCTGTAGAAAGTAGGCAGAGAACATGGGGAGGGGAGGACAAGCCCACAGACCATTTTTGGTTTCTTGATATTGGTAAGATTAATTGGTATATATAAATTCCAAAACTCATACTATGGCAATTCCTTAAATTTAGGGTAATTATTATTTATATGAAACTACAGGTGTGTATGGTAGTACCACAATTACAAAGCACCATAGAGAAGGACCAGAGGATAGGTTTTGAAGTATTAATACAGAGAACGTATATCTGTATGACATTAAAAATAATGTTACTATTTTAGATGTGATATGTTCATGGCAGAAAACAAAATTTAGGCAAATGTGCTTTTTTTTTTTAGGCTGTTGCTTTAACAGGGCTCTGAAGGCTATGAGGTGATGCTCTTTCTAAAAGTAAAGCATCAGTTTTTAAAAAAGGCAAACTGAAGTTTTAAAAATGTTATTTATAATCTACAAATATTCTAGTTAGGACTTTTTGATTGCAAGAGACAAACTAGAATAAACAAACATAAGTGGCAGTCCACACAAATATAAACACATATTTAGATATTTTGATTATATTAATTTAACATTAGAAGCATTTCTTCATGATTAAATACTTTTAACATTATTTCAAAAGTGCTCCATAGCATTCCATTATTGGCATATTTCATAGTTTACTTAAACATTACATCCTTGTTGGACATTTAGATTTTTTCCAATGGAGTGTTTTCAAATTCTTGTCCCAAGTAAAGGAAAAGTTTGATTGGAAGCTTAAATAGCACAATTAAAGCCACAAAAAACATTTTTCTAAATTCAGAAATCAAGGTCAAATATAGTTGTAATTAATTATCTAGTTAATTTAGTTAGTAAAATGTTTAAATAACATTGAATTCAGTGTTGACTCGAAAGTAGTTTTTAAAGAACATATTTCTTATAATGAACCTTAAGTCTGAATTTACTTTTGAGTTGTTGTTCTTCAGTTTTTGTCATTTGGTAATCAGGATGTGCCTTCACAGTTGGGCCAGTTTCTTCCATAATTTTAACCATTACTTATAAGATCTATGCTAACATTTGCAGTTAGAGCTTTGAGTTTCTTGAAACTGTGCCATATCGCCATTAAAAATAAAGCCACAATTCTGATTAAAACAGTTTTTATATATTTTTCTAACTTTCTACTATGAAATTACATTTTTATTATGACCTTACCTCCCACCATTTATTTTTATTTTTTTAATATATTTTTATTGATTTTAGGGAGGAAGAGAGAGCAAGCGAGAGATAGAAACATCAATGATGAGAGATAATCATTGATTGGCTGCCTCCTGCATGCCCCACACTGGGGATTGAGGCTGCAACCCGGGCATGTGCCCTGACCAGGAATCAAACTGTGACCTCCTGGTTCATAGGTCAATGCTCAACCACTGAGCAACACTGGCCAGGTCCCACGATCAATTTTTAAAGCTTCCACTTTACCTCTATGAAAGTCATTATTTCATTTAAGAAAATGCAACTTTAAGTGTACTTGGAACTAAAAAGATAATTTCTGCTCAGTAGTTATATGGTCCATTCTAGGGCATGTTATTGTTGGCTTAGAGGATACTGTTGTTTATATTTGTAACCTTATGTCATCAGGTAAGCGCTTCTTATCACGATGGTTTCAGAGCCACTGCTGTCTGCCCAATGGGAGGGCCAAAGGCAACTGAAAAGGCAAGGAGAACAGCTGAAAGTATTTTGAAAAGGTTTGTACATGAAACAAAAAGATTTTTTTTTCTAGTCTAACTAAATTTAAAGCAAGGCAGTGACCAAGTTGTTTAACAGGAATCATTAAAATCACATTATGTTAAGGTCACTTAACATTTCCCCTGAAAGTATTTATATGTTCATTCAGCACACACACAGAAAGCAACAGGTACTGATACCAATGAGCCCTGCACCAACAACTTTACAGTTTAGCCTGCACAGATACCTAGAAACGTGTTAGAAAAGTTCTATGGATGCTAAATTCTACTAGAGAACCTATACTTTTCTTTGTCTTAACCTAAAGATTATGTTTAGAAAGTTAACATAATGCACACAGGCAATGGAGTCAGAAACAACTGGCCCTTTCACAGGTCATATGGCGCCTACAAGTGTTGGTGTCAGGAAATAATTTCATTTGTCCCAGAGAGTTCTCTTTTTTAAAAAAAAAAAATCCATATAAAGTAATTTTATGATATTTCTGTCACCAAATTTAACAACTTTTATAAATTTTCTAATGCCCGAATCAAATAATTCACATCCTAGCCACAGGAGTAAAGTTCCCTACTATGTTATGCGTTTTAAGTATGTTATTGAGTTAATCAGGAGAAAGATTCAAACCCCTATTAATAAAAATAAGTATTGATGACTGATATAAAAAGGCAAATTAGTGCTAATTTTTTTAATGAGAAGAAACTCATACCACCGTATTTCAATTCTTCACCAACAATGATGATCATAAAACATTTTAAGGTGCAAAAAAATAAAAACAGGAAAATGAATGAAATAGCCCATGATACCATCATTTCATATAGAATCCAAGTGTTTTTAAGTTAAAGACAACTACAGTTTGAACATTGTCAATGAATGAATTAATTCTCTCTTTCATCTAACATTTGAATCACTTACTGCATGCCAATCACTTCTGGACCCTGACTATATAATTGTGAGCAGACAGGGTGGCTATCCTCATGGAGTTTAGTATGTGGATAAACATTAAACTAATAACTGACAAATAAAGATTTGAAAAGTACTTTGAATAAAAAGAGTGTTATGAAAAAGAATAATAGGAGAACAGAATTTAAATTTAGCAGGTAAGGAAGGCTTTACTAAGTGGTATTTAAACAGATAAACCTAAAAGATAAGTACCTTTGTAGGTACTTAAGTAAAATAAAAGCAATGAAAACATAGTTACATATCAAAATATCTGACACACATTATTCAGTAAATATTGCTGAATGAATGACTATTCCAAAAGTCTTAAAGCAAACATTAAAACAAAGAAAGCATAAAACAAGATGTCAAAAGTCAAGTCAAAATCATAGTTGTGTAAGTGAACATAAATGTTATAAATTGCTCAATCAAAAGATAGTCTCTTAGCCCAACTAGTGTAGCTCAGTGGTTGAGTATCAACCTATGAACTAGGAAGTCACAGTTTCAATCCCAGTCAGGGCACATGCCCAGGTGGCAGGCTCCATCCCCAGTAGGGAGTGTTCAGGCGGCAGCTGATCAGTGATTTTTCTCTCATCATTGATGTTTCTATTTTTCTCTTCCTTCCTCTCTCTGAAATCAATAAAAATATTTTTTAAATGGTAATCTCTTAGAATCAATTAAAATGAATATTCAAGCAAGTGTTATAATGTGCATTGAAATAAAACAATTGAAAAAAGTAAAAAATATCAGAATAGGCAAGAAACAAGAAAAAGGGTGAGGAGGTAAAAAAGAAGAGGAAGAGAATGAGAAAGAAAACAAAGGGAGTTGATAGTGATACTAAAGTAGAATTTAAATGGCATAAAATGTATCACACACAGTAAAGTTCATGTAGATATACTAAACATGGCATTGAGACATTTAGGTCAGAACTGCTAGATACATTAAGGAAAATGGAGAGAAATACAATTGCTGTGGAAGACTTTAACAGATCGTAGTATTTATCAAGTTAATTTAAACAGAACATAGAGTATTAGAATAATATAATAGTGTTGAATTAATAGCTACAGATAGAACATTTTCTCCCAACAGACAAGTATGCACCTTGTTGCCAAGCATCCTCAAGGCTACCTTACTCCATTTCAGGAAACGGAAAATTTGCAGATCACAGCCTTTGACCATATGTAATACAACAGATTAATAATAAAACTTTAAGCAACTAAACTCTAATCCCTCAGAAACCTAAAAAGTACTTGCACCTGTAATTATTGGGTCAAAGAGAAAACTCTTCAATTTTAGACTGTTTAGAAAATTAAGACATTGAGGCTATAACACCAAATGTTGTGATTTGAAGCTAAAGCTAATATTCAGGAATGAGTTGATACCCCAAATGCCCTAAATTGCCCCAGTCCTTCAACTGTAATTGTTATTAACATCCAAAATGGGTGATCTTTATCAATAAAACTGATGAACAAAAATAGATACAGAGGCAGAGCAGTATCGAACAGACTGTCAAACTACGGAAGGAAGGCTGGGGAGGGTTGAGTGGGAGAGGTAAGAGATCAACTAAAGGATTTGTATGCATGCATATAAGTATAACCAATGGATGCAAGATCCTGGGGGGTTGGGAAGGCCAGGGGACGATCAATGGGGAAGAAAAGGAGACATATGTACTACTCTTAGTAATACTTTAAGCAATAAAATAAAATAAAAAATAAAAAAGAACCAAAACTAAAGAAATGTTGGAGTTGATCTACCATAAATTCATGAATATTTTTTGTCACCTATACTTTGCTGCAGAACTCGTCTTATGTTTGAAAAAGCTGGCTTAGGAGATTATAGTGAAGTTCACATACAAATTTTAGGATCTGAAGAAACATATGGAGCACAAGCTAAAGCAAATGTAAATGGAGTAAGTAGAACAGCCCATATTTCTTAAGTTCCAATGTAAGTGAATGGTTTGGAATATTCTTAATCATTTACAGATGAAAGTATTTACTGTAAAGACTGACCTAAGGTTTAATGGGTTTTGAATTTTGGGTTACTTCAATTTTATAGAATCTATTTTTTAAATCTATGTTCTACAACAAGCTGGTTATTCAGTTTGAATTTTCTATATGCCTACTGCAAAACTCACCCTAATTCCATCCCCTTTCTTTCTTATCCTACATTTAATATTTGAGTTATGTTTAGGCTTTGGATGTCACATATATGGTTTTCTTCAAAAGTGTTTAGAGAGCTATGAAATTTAAATTTTTAACTTCTGATGAGTTCTTAATACATATGTTGATCTTTAGGAGCAAAAATAGAAATAACATTTCTTTCATTCTTACAGGAAATTTTCTAGCTAGTCACTAGAAAAGGTATAAGAGATTCAGAATTGTTTTTTGGCTTACATTAAAAAATTCAATATGTAAAGTATGTCATATCTATTGTGACCACCATTAAAAATCAGTTTCATTAATCTATTTCAAGGCATTTTGAGATTATTTTAAAAATATGAAGTCTTATCAGTGTCTCATTAAATTATGGATAATTAATTTGACCTTATCCGGATAGTTTTTTTCTCTATCATATATTTAATTCTAACAGCATTATTATGGGTGTGTCTTATATAACTTTCTACTTAACATCTTTAACCATTTTGAATAATTTTCAGGATTTTTTAACCTCAACAGGTTAAAAAAGGTTTGGCCATTTTATTATTCTGGATTATTTGTAGGTATTTTGGCCAATTGTTACTGCTTTCACTTAAGTGTTAATCAAAGATGGGAAAATGTATGGGAAATAACAATAACAATCACAACACCAATTGAAAGGTTAATATGTGCTAGGCACTGTTGTAAATTCTTTATTTGTGGTCACTTAGCTATCACAACAACCCTTTTAGGTACGTGTTGATATTTCCATTTTATAAATGTGGAAACTCAGGCACAGAGAGGTTGAGTAATTTGCCTATGTTCAGACAGCTAAAGAGGGGGAGCAGGACCAAATTTTGAACCCCTACAGTCTCCTAGCATTTGCACTTTTAACCTTAGGAGCAAGAGTTTCTTTTCAATGTAGAGTTGATTAAAAAGATCTAAACCCTTTGTAACTGAATTATTAAGGCTAAGTAAATATAGTAAGATAATTCATTATATTTTAGAAAAGAAAAATAATATTGTTATATATAGTCTTAGGTATATTAAATAATTCAAGTATCTGTGTCCAGATCTTTATTAAGACTCTTTTCTGTTTAGGAATTTTCTCTTCTATATTAAACAGTGAACTCAGCAAAATATTGGATAAATATTTTATTTTGGAGAAAGAATTGTTGGTTGCATGATTTTTTGCAGCCTGTTTTTCATTTTGTAGTATAAAGCCCCCAAATGCCAAGAACTAGTTTATTTTGTAGACTAGTGTGTGGTAAGGTCAGGATATAAACTTAGGGGCTATTTAGAATTATATGAGAAATTTTAGATGCTTGAAAAAACTCAGAAACAAGAACCAGGTGTCAAAGTGTAGATATTTCTTTGTATGCAAAAATGTGTGTTCTATTAGTTGCTAGGTGATTTAATTGCCATATTTTGTAATTCCCATATTTAATTGACTTGATTAGATTGAGTGAATGTAGAACATAAAATGAAAGGTTTATTTTGAAAGCCAACTTTTAGTCTATTGTTTGAAAGGGACTCTTCATTAAAGCTTGCTTGAAAACAGTACATAATGTCTACTTTTCATGATGTGCCCATGAACCTCTATTTAGTCACATAATTAAATAGTCAGATTCATTAATTTGGTTTTAGAGAGAGATATTGACAATACATATAATGAGATAAGTAGAAGGTAATTATTGGTCTATTAAAATAATTATAGCTTATATTTGTACTTGAAGAAGTGTTTCACATCTAATGCTACATTATTTTATATTACTGACTCCAGAAGTAGCTAGAAAGCTGATATTATCTGCATTTTACTGGAAAGGAAAATGAAGTTACAGAAAATGGTGGCATAGGTAAACACCGGAAATTGCTGCCTCGCACAACCACTTCAAAAATACAACTAAAAGACAAAACAGACATCATCCAGAACCACAGGAAGGCTGGCTGAATGGAAATTCTACAACTAGAAAGAAAGAGAAAAGCACACTGAGACTCAGAGAAGGTATGGAAGTAAAGTGCAGAGGTACGGAGGCACATGCAGAAAGGGCTGGCAACTGAGGACACGTTTGTTTTTTTCAATCGGGAGGGAGTCTCAAGCTCCCAATGGCTCTGAACTCCAGTTCTGGGTGAGTCTCTGGGGACCCAGACTCATACAGGGAGAAACTGGACTGTCTGGCAGGTCCCATACAGGGAGAAACTGGCACGTCTGGCATTGGTTGGAACTCGAGGGTGGCTTTCTTTCAGAGGTGCTTGCAGCAATTACTGGGACACTGGTATCCGGGGCCTCTTAGGGCAGGACTGAGGATCAGCCATAGCTGTTTGCTCTGCCCTGTAGATTCCCTGAGACCCTCGCCCCACCCAAGCTGTGTTCAGAGGCTTTTGCATATGCATGACCTGGCC